GGCTGCTGAGCCTGTGTGTCCGGAGCCTGTGCTCTGCAACGGAAGAGGCCACAACAGTGAGAGGCCCAACGACAACAAAAAAAAAAAAAAAAAAAAAAAAAAAAAGTTAATCAGAGGTTTTTTAAAGAAAAGAAAAGCACTCTTTTCTAGGTTTAGTGTTTCATATTTTGTGTTTCTTTAAAAATAAAGCTTGATTAACTTTCTCCGGATCATAACATTTTGTCACTGTTTATTTGTGTATGTGTACGTGTATACACACACGTATGGCAGAACCCAGTTCTGAAAAGTGAAATGGTAGATTTAGGATGAGATTAAGCCAGGAGTGGTCGGCAGCAAGAGCTCCTGTTTATTGCTGCCTGTTTGGGGAAAGGTGATGGTTATCAGCCACTAAGAAGGTTTGTGTGTCGTTATTGGTGGTAGTTCAGCTTGCAAGAAGCTCCAAGGAATTTGTAACCGGAGCCCCAGGCTTAGTGAATGTTAAGTCAGCAACAGCAGGGTTTGTGGGGGGGGAATCCTCTTGTTGTAGCCAGCTGTTCATCGTATCAAGACCCCATCCCCCAGAGTCCCCTTAAGAGGCAAGAATATCTGTGGACAAGTGTTTTATTTGTAGAGAAGATGGACACTTTAGGTTTTAAATGAATTTCGTGAAACTGACAAAAATATGTGTATGCTTGTTATTTTTAGACAAAATCCAGGAAAAGTATATTATCTTTCTAATTTTCTTTCCAACATTCTTTTTTGAATAAAGAGCTATTCTAGTTTAGCTTGAAAAGTTTCTTTTAGTTGCTATGTGAGAAAAGGGAATAATTACACTGATAATACACACAAACATATCTATATAAAGAGTGGAAATCATCTCGTTCCATGTAGATTTGTGTTGTTTTTGTTGGCTTTACGCGCTCTTTGGCTCTCTGTGGTGCTGACTAGATGTTAACGTTAATTGAGTTGTGTGCCTGCTGTTGGTAAAACAGCCGACAGACCTGTCGTCACTAACCCCTGTCTCCTGGGAAGGCCAACGGCAGTGTGCTTGTCACTGTTTGTAAAGGATGCCAAAAAATGTCTCTTGCCAGGTAAACGACTTTTGGAATATGTCACAGGAAACAAGGCGTTCACTGGAAGTCTCCTTGAAGAGGGGTCTTCTTAACTCGCCAGTCTTTGCCCTGCACTTCTCCCCCTGGGTTACCGCTGTCTCTGTGTCCTCGGCAGGCTCTCCCGTGCCGCAGCCTCCACCGCCACAGCCACTCTTGTTGGGTGCTAGACTGCAGAGCGCCTCCACCCTCACCGACATCTACCAGAGCAAGCAGACGCTCAGAAAGCAGCACTCGGACCCCGTGTGCCCGTCCCACACCGGGGCTGGGTGCAGCTGCTCCCCCCAGCCCAGTCGGCCCGGCAGCCTTGGGACCTCTCCCACCAAGCACGTGGGGTCCTCCCCGCGGAGTTCCGACTGGTTCTTCAAAACTCCATTACCAACAATCATTGGCTCCCCTACTAAGGTGTGTTTATTAAGCCCTTTTGTAGATGTTGTGATTTTGCTAAATTAACATTTATTAACTGGGGCGTTTTGTTCTGGGTGGTCAGCTGAGGCCAGCAACAGACCACAGGAGAAATTGAAATAGAGAAGTTGGTTACTCACCAGTCCTGGAAGAAGCAGCCAGATGCCACACGGGGAAGTCAAGTCAAAGTGCAGAGAGAGACAGGACCTGGGCACATGCCTTATTAGGGTCTGTGGGTGGAGTGCTCTGGGGTTCCTGGGCCAGGGCTGGATGGGTCCATCCAAACCAAAAGAGCAGGGTTCTGATAAGTTCCACGGGGGTCTTGTCTAAGGGGCACACAGCAGGAAGGCCCTGGGAGACGGGGGGAGATCACCAGGCCTGTCAGGGAAGTCGTATCCGGAACGTACATTTATTTGCGATTCTGTGGTCTGCTGTCTAGGGCGTGTGCTTGTACAAGGGGCTGGTGTCAATTTAAGGTCCCCGCAGGCCACATAGCCAAGCACAGTGGACGTGGAAGCTGCAATGCCATGGAGTAGCTTAACCCTCAGTAGTAGGTCATGAACTGGTATCATAAGTACTTTATAGACAGCATTCAGGAAGAGGATAGCTGCAATTTAATCAGCACCTGCCGTGTACCAGGCAAAGTGTAAGTCCTTTACTTGCTGAATGCTTTATATACACGTTCCCATTTAATCCTGAAAGAAGGAAACAGGCCTAGCGTAAATGAACTGTCAAGGTCACAGAGACTGGAAGCAGAAGAGCCGGGATTTGAATCCAAGACTGACAGAGTCTGGAGTCTCTGCTCCAGCTACTGTGCCATAAGCCTGACGGTTCTGAACATTCCTACGTCATAACAACCAGTTTACATGTGTTCCCTTAGACCACGGCTCCTTTCAAAATCCCGAAAACGCAAGCGTCTTCCAACCTGCCAGCCTTGGCCACTCGCCGCGGGCCTTCTGAGGGGCAGTCGAAAGATGGGAGTGACCCACGGGGATGCTCTCACTGTCTCTCAGTACAAGGAGGGGAGAGGCAGAAGTCCGAGCAGCAGGTCAGGGCAGCATTTGGCAGGTAAGAGATGCCATTTCCTTCCAGCCCTAAACATGGAAACTGTAACAGTGCATCCATTCCTATCATAAAACAACCAGACCCGATTAGGAGCTGGTTTAATGCCCGTGGTCAATGACACTGTACACGTGTAAGGAACTGCATACACTTAGAACCTCTGAAAACCATAGCTGTTGCCTATACCTGTGGGAGTCCAGAGCTCTTCCTGAGTTTCCTGAGTAGCCTGTTTCTGCCTTTTTGTTTATTTTGGGTATTGAAGTTTATCTCTACCTTGAATTGTTCGGTCTCTATTTTTTGTCTCCTTGTTCTCTGACTTTCCTTTAACCCTTTTATGGCTTGGCTTAAATCACCCTTATTACTGATATGTCTGTATTTTTTTAAAGTATACATTTACATTATTATCATTCTTCTTTTTAGATCTGTCAGTACTGGGAAATTAGCAGATCAACCAGTAAAAACACCTTTAGGTGGACATCAGGGCAGCACGGACAGTTTAAATACAGAACGTCCAATGGATACAGGTAAGAGAAGTCCGGTTTCTTTTTAGGCAGGTAATCTGTTTGTTAACTTTCCTATTGCTGCTGTAACATATTACCACAAGCTTGATAGCTTAAAAACAACACAGATGTATTATTTTACAGTTCCGGAGGGCAGAAGTCCACAGTGGGTCTCACTAGGCTAAAATCCAGGTGTAGGCAGGGCTGGTTCCTTCTGCAGGCTCTCGGGGAGAGTGCACTTCCTGGCCTTTTGCAGCTTGGGGGCTGCCCTCATCCCTTGGCCTGTGGCCCCTTCGACCGTGAAAGCCAGCAATGGCCAGTCTAGACTCAGACCTTCTGCCCCGTTAGTCTACACTTAAAGGACCCTTGTGATTACATTGGACCCACTGGGTAATCTCTTTAAGTTCAGCTGATTAGCAGCCCTGGTTCCATCTGCAGCTTTAGTTCCCCTTTGCCGTGTAACATAGCCTATTTACAAGTTTCAGGGGTCAGGACGTGGGCCTCTTTGGCTTGGGCGTTGGGGGTAATTACTCTGCCCATCTACTTCTGTTGACTGTTCACGAACCTGTTGACCAGATTGCTTCATCCAGTCCCTGTCATCTCATCTAATTTCTTAGGAGCCTGTGAAGATAGGGACATGTTCAGTGTCTTGATGATCGGCAGCCCATGAGTTAGAAGTTAGATGCTGACCAAGATTGCTTTTTATCAGTAGGATAACACTGGCCAAAGTTGCCTTACACATATGAACTCTTGAGCATTTCTTATACAGCAAGCCCAACCTATAGAGAACCATAGATCACTGAGATCCCTGGCTCTTTCATAGTTGTTCCAGGGAACTTCATGTCCGTGGACCCACATCTAGATTACTTTAGACTGCTTATCAAAAAATGAAAACAAAGGGCTGGCTCCAGACCCTAACCCAGACTTGTTTAATCAAGTTTTCTGGGAAAGGAGTTTAGGAATCTGTGTCTTTAACAAGCTCCCCACGTGATTATTATGTCCACTTAAATTTGAGTCAGTATTGGAGCCTCTTTGTTCTTCTTTTCTCTGTAATTCTTTTACCGTCTCTCCCATGAGCCTCCAAAGGAGGAACTATCTAGACCAGCAAACACCCGAGTATGGTTTCTGTGCTGTAGGGCTTGATATTTCACTCCACCGTCATCTTGCTGGCATGGTTTCTGAAGAGAAGTCTGGTGTAATTCTTACCCTCATTCCTCTTATAAATGAGGTGCTTTTTTTCTTTGGCTTCTTTCAGGATTTTTTCTTTGATTCTCTGCTGTTTGACGATGAAATGCACAGGTGTAGACTATTTGGCATTCTGACCGCTTGGTGTTCTTTAAGCTTCCTGGACTTGGAAGGTTTGGTTCTGCATTTATTTTGGAAATTTCTTGGTCATCACTACTTCACATATTTCTTCTGTTTCTTTCTCTTTCTCCTTTTGATATTCCTCTTGCACATATATTATATCTTTGTAGTTGTCCCACAGTTCTTGGATATTCTGGGATTTTTGTTGTTGCTGTTGTTGTTTTAATTCTTCTTTCTCTTTGCTTTTCAGTTTTGGAAGTTCCTATTGACATATCTTCAAGCTAACTGATTTTCTTCTCAACCATGTCCTGTTAATGAGCTCATCAAATACATTCTTCATTTCTGTGTCAGTGATTCTGACTTACAGCATTTCCTTTGAGTCTTTCTTAGAGTTGCCATCTCTCTGCTTTGTTACTCATTTGCTCTTACATGTTGTTTAGTTTTTCCATTAGAGTTCTTAGCATTAATCAAAGTTATTATAATTTCTGGTGTGATAAGTCCAATATGTGTGCTGTATCTGAGTCTGGTTCAGTGCTTACTCTGTCTCTTCAAGCTGTTTTTACAACTTTTAGCTTGCCTTTTAATTTTTGTTGAAAGCCAGAAATGATATTACTAGACATAGAATTGAGTTAAATAGTGTGAGGTGTTTTTTTTTGTTTATCTGGCTAAGAGTTAGGCTGTGTTTAGTGTTTGCTGTAGCCATAGGTATCAGGGTAAACTTTTCTCTGGTGTCTTTGTTTTTGTCTCCCCTGTTGTCTTTGAGTTTCCCTAGATACCCCTTCTTAAATGCCTAATTCTATATTTTCTTCTAAGAAAATATGAGCTATAAAACAGCTTAGGGACTTCCCTGGTGGCACAGTGGTTAAGAATCCGCCTGCCAATGCAGGGGACATGGGTTTGAGCCCTCGTTCGGGAAGATCCAACCTGCTGCAGAGCAACTAAGCCCGTGCGCCACAACTACTGAGCCTGCGCTCTAGAGCCCACGAGCCACAACTGCTGAAGCCCGTGCACCTAAAGCCTGTGCTCCGCAACAAAGAGAAGCCACCGCAGTGAGAAGCCTGTACACCAGCCCCCACTCTCCACAACTAGAGAAAGCCCGTGTGCAGCAACGAAGACCCAGCACAACCAAAAATAAATAAATAAATTTATTAAAAAAGCAAAAACAAAAAACAGCTTAGCTCTTAGTTTCTCCACTTTCTCACCAACGTTTGTTATTTGTGGTCTTTTCGATGATGATCATTCTGACAGGTGTGAGGTGATGTCTCACTGGGATTTTTATTTGCATTTGCCTGATGATTAGCGATGTTGAGCATCTTTTCATGTGCCTGTTGGCCATATATATTTTTTGGAAAAATAACTATTCAGGTCTTCTGCCCGTTTTTTTAATCAGGTTGTTTCCCCACATATTTATTCCCAGTTCTTGGTTTCCACCTTTTCACATTATCCTCAGGTGTGACGGCAATTCACGTAGAAGTAACTGAATTGTAGGCCTTGGTGAAAAGAAGATTCACAGCTGTGAAGAGATTACCATAAAATATTTTTAATGGAGATCTGTATTGAATTTTCTGTTTTTAAGAGGAATAAATGCTTATTGTAAAAAAAACAAATCTAATATAAAAGTAAAGGTGTCCCTATAAAACCACCCTCTGACACGTGACACATTTGGTGAACTTTTTATTGCAGCCCCTGCAGGAGCCTGTGGTGTTGCACGGGCTCCTTCTGTGGGAACAGCAGCGAGTCCCAGGGCTGTGCTGTTCACGGTAGGGTCTCCTCCACACAGGGCTGCGACCCCTGCTTGTACCCACATAGTCCTTCGGACAAGAACCACCTCAGGTGAGGATTGTCTTAGTTCCACCTTGGGCTCGTGTTTGGTGTGCAGATTCTGATAATGGCTTAATGGTGTGACGTAGTTTTTTTACCAATGACGTGGAGATAGCGATTTACTTTACCTTAAAGGGTTATGAAGAGTAGATGAGGGGACTTCCCTGGCAGTCCCGTGGTTAAGACTCTGCATGGGTTTGGTACCTGGTCGGGGAACTAAGATCCCGCATGAGACAATACTTGTGGGGGGAAAAAAAATTTGCAAAATGAAAGGTACTATGTTATATATTTGTAATAATATATATGTAATTTTATAACATTATTACATAAATGTGACTTCACAGTGAAGCAGCTATGCATATTGGTGCTTCTTAGCTTATATTGAAGGCTTATTTTAGTACATCCAGTAAATTTTTTGAAGATGATAGATTGTTGTTTATTTTTGGTTTTGTGGGTTTTTTTAGAAACCTAGGTTTCACCTTTTTTTGGGTACTTTGAGTCCCAGTCTTTGCACTTAATCCTATATCCTACTTCTGGATAGGCTGATAGATTGGTCTTATCAGCCATAGTCTATAAATAGGTAATTGGTACCAAAAATTAAGAAAGTATTTAGATTGGACTTGAGTTATCATTTGACATCATATATTATACCTTGTGTCCCTTAAGTTCTCTTATGCTAAATCAGTTACTAATCAAGATACAAGTAGATTAATAAGCAAAGGTTATAAATAGATAATGAGAGTGGAAAAAGAGCTAATAATCTTGATTTTAGGATTATTAAGAGTATTAAATAATAAGAAAATACCACTTTGAGAAAATAACTTTTTATACCTGTTAACTAAGCCAACATTTAAAAAATGTAATGCCCCATGTTATTGAGGCTTAGTGGGATCTCTGCGCTCACTCACGGCTGCTTTAGAAAATAGCATGGCAAATCTTACAAAGAGCTATTAAAATATTTATAGTAATATTTGATCTGTGGTAATCCCATTCTGTTCATAAGGCCACTTACAACAAAGTGGTCTTATAAAGTATTTATCACAAATAACTCAAAAGAAGGAAGGATTTCATTACAATGTTATTGGTGGCACTAAAAAAATCAGAAATAGTCTAAGTGCCCCCACATAAGCGTTGGGGTGTAATTTTAGTGAAGCGCACACATCCGCTGAGTTCTATCACCGTGAGGACTGTGGAGCAGCAGGGAGAAATGTGTATGTTAGAAATTTGTTTAAAACAGAATTTAAAAGTAGCTGTGCTGATTCTGTAAGGAATGAAGGTGAGCCTGGGAAGATAAAGGCTGTTCGTGGGCTCAGGGAGGGGTCGGGGGCCTTCCTTTTAATGCTTCCTCGCCCGTCTCCACAGGGGGCTCCAGCGGCTCCGGAGGCTCCCTGGGCTCCGCCGGGGGCCGTGTGTCTGGGGGCTCCCCGCCTGGGCTGTGCTCGGGGTCTCCCCCTCTGGGAGCAGAGGCAGCTCCCAGCCTGAGACACGCGCCTTGTGGTGCTTCACCCCCCAGCCTGGAGGGGCTCGTCGCCTTTGAAGCCCCTGAACTGCCCGAGGAGACGCTGATGGAGGTGGGAAGAGACCCTGTGACGTGTCACTTACGGGGACCCCGAGGAGAGTGTTGGTGACAGGAGGACAAAATCCCCCTAACCTTTCCTATTTGGAACATTGCTCATATATTTTCAGAATAATGTTGACAGTGACACTCATTCATAGCAAGCTTTGGTTGACAGGAAGTGACGCATACAGATTTTGTATTCTTAATTTCTTTATCTGAAGTTTATTTACTACTTACAGGACTTTTAAAGCTTAATCTTTTTCCTAAAACCGTAACTTTTTATTCTCAAAGCTTGCTTTTCTTCATAAGATAAAAATGATACACTTAAACTTAGGTTTAAAAAAATAAATTAAGATGCCAAATCAGTCAGTAAAGCTGAGGAATAAAGCTGCCCGGCAGACTGGACAGTCGCGTGTGTACACCAGTACCTTCCCTCCGCGGAGCCAGGTCTCCAGGGAAAAACACATCGGAACGTGAAGTGTGCTGAGCACAAATGCAGAATAGAGGTGAATTTTATGATTCCAGAGCCTCTGCTAGCTAATTCCTCAGTGTCGACTCTAGGACAGTGTTCCATAGACTGCACCTCCTCCAGGTCAACTAAAGAACAATTTCTCTTTCCATATTTCTATTGTGTGTGAAGGAAAATTAAGTATTTCACATAAAAGTTATAAAATACTGCATGCAAAATTTTAATAGTGATTCTGTAGTAAGTTTAAGTTGTAATTTTGAAAATATCTATAAGATTAGAAAAGCAATCTTCAGAGTTTTTTCAGTCTCCATCAAATTAGGCATAAATTATGTTCCAGTATGTATTGGAATATATAGTCTGATATGCTGTCATAGAGCAGAGAGACTTTCAAAGGTTGATTGGTTTATTCTTCTGTCTTTAGTACACTGATTCTCATCCCTTTTTAACCATAAAAGGAGAGTGAGAAACTTAGTCTTATTTGAGATTTCAAAATATATTTATAGCTAAAAACAAACCTCAAAACATAAATTTTAGAGTACCCATTTTTAATGCGCTGCTATTAATGTCTATCTATACTCCACTCTTTAACTGAAAAGATCACAAAACTTAGAGCCTTGGTATTAGGAATCACTGTTAACTGAAGAGCCACCAGAAATTAAAATAAAGTGTCTCTGAAATTGTAAGTCAGTAGAATTCATTAAACTATCAAGAAGTGTGGTTTACTGCACAGAATATCCTTTCATTCTTATATCTTGGTATCTATTCTGTCATGTTTCTGTCTCACGTATATTGATTTAATTGTTCTGTGTTTCGTTTTTTTCCTGGTGCAAGTACAATGACCTCATATCTTTGAGGCTGAATTTTATGGGTGCTCTCATACATCCATACACACAAACACATGACACACTCTTGTTTGGTTTCATTTGTGTTTATTTTTCTCACAGTTTTCTGGAATTTAAAACTTTCATTCTCCTTTGATCATTCTGACATTCATAAGTATAGAAAACATTAGCAGTGGCCACAGTTTATGTGCAGAAATGAGTGTGCGCCTCTCCTTAACCTGCAAGTTTCTAAGATGATTGGCTTTGCCGCAGCGAGAGCACACAGACACCTTCCGCCACCTGAACGCAATGCTGTTGTTCACGGAGTGTGTGCTGGACCTGACGGCCGTGCGCGGGGGAGACCCGGGGCTCTGCGCGTCCGCGGTCTCCTTGTACCAGATCCAGGAGAGCGCGGTGGTGGACCAGATCAGCCAGCTGAGCAAAGACTGGGGGTAGGTGCCCCCTTGCTGTCCATCTCCAGAGGCTTCCTGCCCTCTGTAAACTGGTGTCCAAGCTGGGGGCCGTGTCATCCACTGAAGGTCATGGGCGTCTCTGAGTTATCTCATTGTGCTCGATTTCACTGTGTGAGCCAAGACTTGGAGGTTCTGCAGCCTTGGTGTTTCCTTTCCTGTAAATCATGCTGTTAAGATATTTGACGATAAAGAGATTGTATTTTTATCTGAGTGCACCCGTTGTATTCGAAGTACACGCGTCTTTCTCCATGCCGGCCCTTCTCCCTTCAGGAGGTGTTCATGCACTAAAAGTGTCAAGGGGAATGATGTTCCCTTAGAGAGACTGTTGTGATGGGGCACTGGCCTGTCGGTTCGCAGGCTGACGCTCTGCTTGCTGTCTCTGGGTGCAGGCGGGTGGAGCAGCTGGTGTTATACATGAAGGCCGCACAGCTGCTGGCAGCCTCTCTGCATCTCGCCAAAGAGCAGATCAAGTCCGGGAAGCTGAGCCCGTCCACGGGTGTGAAACAAGGTACAAGCGGAGCGTGACGGGGCTGCTTTTCCCCTTACACTGGGAAGGGGAGTTTCTGGTGAGGGGTCACCGTGGTATTAAGCATGCTTAAATGGGAAAAGATGCTGGCTTTTCTGTTTTTTGGTTTTGCCATTTAGCCGATACAGGGAGCAGTCAGAATTACTTTATTCTCAGTCTTCACTAGGAGAGAGAACATGTGGAAGAATGATTTCCAGTCACTTTTCTCAGTGATCGTTTAGCGTCGCTTTCCATAAATCAGCAG